GAGCAACACGACGGACAGTGTCACTTTTCCTTGAGCCAAATACATGTCAAGTCAGCACTGTAGTCTAGGCTACAAACTCCTCATGAGAATGATGGGTAAAACATAGCAGAGGGTCGATGTTTTACAACTCTAAATCCTAAAACCCCAAGGCCCCCTAAACCCCACACAGTTGGCCAGTACAGAGGTCCGTCTATGTCAAGTCTTTTTACAGGTCCCTCCACCCCGAGGACCCGTGATCCAGTACTATCCCCTATAAAAAAAAAGCTTAATGTTTGGGCTTCGGGCTTTAAAGGGGTTCGGATTTAAGCAACCCAAATTCCTAAATTTGGGTGGTTTTGGTTTAGGGTTGCGGTTTAGGGTAGGCAGCGGACCTGTGTGGCTGGACCTGTGAGACCCCAAAAAAAAACAGGACAACCCCGACAAAAAACAAAAGAAAAGATGACAAACCCAACAAAAAATATGGACACCCCTGCTTGGCGCTGCAGCTCAGCGTCAGTTTGACGCTGAACATCGTCAGCCAATGCAAGGGCTTTCTCCCTGGCCAGGTGCTCGGACTTTTTCCTCCGTATCTGCTCAGCTTCTTCTTCTTGTTGTTTTCTCTCTGCCTCCTGCTGCCTCTGGCGCTCTTGCCGGTCATCTGCTCTAGCTGCTGCCCTTGCTATCACTGTGAGCAGAGTCTCACGAGCAAGCAAGATATCAGAGGGAACCGGCTCTTGCCGCGGGGCCTTGCCCCAATCCTACAGGGAATCAACGCGGCGCATATATTCGTGGAGTATAAGGGGGCTTCCAAAAACAGGGGTCCCTCCCCATAAGAAGGATGACAACTTCAGATTGGGGTCCCCTTATTTATGTTACCCGTATACCCGAACCCCTAGACCCTAAACCGCACTACCATATAGTATTTTGGGGTGCTGCACTCCTCCTCCATCTCGACCTGCCTCTCTCCACCTGCACCACCAGCGAACTCGAGCTCTGTGCCCCCTGCGAGCAAGCGGTTTATTAATTGGGGGCCAATAGGGAATATGTTATATGGTTGTATGGGGATGATATAGGGATCAAATTCCCTCATTCTTTATTAACCAGCAGTACGTTTAGGGTTAAAGGTTCAGCTTAGGGCTATGAACCTGTAGCATTGCAGTTTGGATTCTGGGCTGTCATACTATGTGGGATAGATGGGGATGCCTGGGAAATTCGAAGCGGTTTCAAGACGAAAGCCACAAACAAACAAAATAATCAGCAACTGAAGAACAAGGAAACTGAACAAAACTATGCCCCTGAATGACTCGAATGCTAAACCCTAAACCCTTTAGACCGATCCTCAAACCTTAGATTATTCACCTCAAACCCCTAAGTCCTAAACCAGAGCTAACCACTTGGCTCTAGCGCCTTGGTCGCCCATAACTTAGGGTTTAGGGTTTAGAGTTTTAGGGTTTAGGGGCCCATAACCCAACTTACAATTGGAAAAAGCACAGGGTTACAAATACAGGGGGATCGCGCATGTCTAAGCCCAGGGTATGACTACATGAGCCCCTGCTGTTCTCGACCTACTTTGACGCCAAAGTCTACAAAACCCTGCACTATCAGCCCAAGGCTTTTCCTTCCCAAAGGCAACAGAACTCTAGACCCCAAACCCTCAGCCCAAAACCCTGAGCCCTTAGGCCATCCCAAAATATCGTAAGAAGAGCACCGGAACCGTACGATCCTCCGCAATCAGCAGCTTCTCCGCCCTCCACCTCTTTGTCTATAGCCTCGGTCACTCTCCCGAAGCCAATATTTCAGAGTTTCCAAAAACAGGGCTATCCAGGGAAAGCATTCATTATCTATCCCAAAAAATACTACAATTGTTAATACAAAGAAGGAAACCTCCAAATGCTCTTAAGCCCTCTGGGACTGGCCGGATCCAGGTAAATTTTGGTTTTGGATTCGCAGGATTTTGGCTTCGGGGTTCAGGGGCTAGTTTAGAGATCAGGGTTGAGGCTTCAGGGCGCTTTTGAAGTTCAGCGGTTGCGATGTGGAGGTATAGGGTTTGGGAATTGATGCCCTCTATTTTGTCTCATTATATGTTAGAGGAAATACTTGTTGTTGGGGTCTCTTCGCTGCCTTCCCAACAGTTTTTCTTGAGTTGCAGTTTTTTCTTGGATTGCCTCTACTGCCCACGATGCCGCTAAAAACGCATTGTATAAGATGAAATAGGGAGTGCAATTTTGGGGAGTTCGCAGATCGGCCACATTGAGTCATGCAAACATGTTGGGCTGATTAACTGGGTTGCTGTTAAGGAACTTAAACTAAGTTACCATAATGGGTATATATAGTAAATAGGGTTTCCCCAATATAGTAACTTAAATTAAGTTCCTTAACCGCAACCCACTTAAGGGAGGAGGGTGTTGAACAGGCTGAGCTTTGTTTAGGACACTCGCTCTCTCCAATTCTGCTTTCGTTTGTGCAACCTATCGTGAACCCGTGAACCTCAAGTAGACGGGGATGTAGGAAAGCTTGACGGATTGAGCTTGTAGATCCCTTCGACTAACACCAAGTCTCCATTGATGTGGCGGGGGCCGCCAGGCGCACAATTGGGTTCCACAATTTGGGTTCAAGGTCTAGGATTAGGGGTTTGGGGGTCAGCGACACGCGGCCCGTAGACCCTTCGCAATTTGAATGTTTGAGTTTTTTTGACCTTCCGTGCCAACAGCCTAATGGTCTCACAATTTAAAAAAGTGCAAGCTAGAGGTAACCATATGTTTGCGGTCCAAAAGACATTCTCGAACAGCCGCCACGCCCAATTCCCTTTTTCCTACGCCATTATTTTACATACTTTTGGGTCCAGGTAGTACCTCTAGAAAGGGTTGCAATGCACTCCTTATGCACATGACTTGCAGAAAGTCCTCAGTTGATGAAACCTAAACCCTGAATCCCAACCCCAAAAAGTTGGACCCTGAAAACTAAAATGCTAAACCCCTCTTCAAGCCCTGAACCCTAAATCCTAGGGCCATCCTAGGGCCTAGGGTAAACCAAGACCTTTGATTGAACCCTAAACCACAAACCTTAAAACCCAGCCGCCATCTCGAACTCCCGGTCTGGCGCGTCTCCGCCGACTTCAATCACCTTGCCGGCAAAACCCATAGGCTCGGTTGATGTCTATGCGGTTTAGGGTTTAAGGGTTCAGGGCTTTATATTGGGGATATACTGAGGATATATTGGGGCTATATTGGGATAGTGGAAATAAAATGAATGAAATGGAAACTACTATTTGGGGTTTAAGGGTTCAGGGTTGAGGGCCCCAGGCTTAATCCCAAAACAGGTACATTGTGGCTGGAAAAAGGCAGCTTTCGGAGTTCAGGTATGGTCCTACCTACCTACAGTCACCTGCAGAAGCCAGGCCTCTACCGTTTCAAAGGTGGGCTGTACTAAGTACAAGTTAGCTCCATGATATGTGGCCTACGGGAAGGTGAATCACAGAACTGCCAAAATTCAGCATGCTAAGCCGCACAAGTTTCAAGGATCTCACACCTCTGAACCCCTTTGTCCCCGACAGAGGCCTTATGCAGCACCCCTTTCCTGCCCTTTTCAATGCCTACATACATCCATGCAATATACACCCAATCTCCAACCCCCATATAGTTTCTGCAAGTTCCCTGCAGCCCATTGCAAGGGACCCCGGAATGCTATAAGCTCAACATTTGCTTTATTATGGACCCTGAACAGTGGACATAGGGGTCCCTCTGGTTGTTTAGTATAGTCCCGAATGTAGTCCCCAATAAGCAGCCCATGTCCACGAAATTATGCACTAAATATTGACTCTAGCTCATGTGAGCTACTGTCTAAAC